TCAATGTCTTTTTTTTTCAAATTATCGCTGTTGAAGGTTCCGCTATGGCGACAAAATTGGCTTTCAATCCTTATGAGGTGCTTGGATTGGAACGAGGTTGCAGTGACAAGGATGTACAAAAAGCCTATAAGCAGCAGTGTCTGCGGTGGCATCCGGATAAGAATTTGGATAACAAGGAAGAAGGTATGGCTTTTGCTGATTTTACAACATCTCATTTTTGTATCAAATAATTTTTACTACAATCATTCTTTTGTTTCAGCTGAAAGAAGATTCATTGCTGCAAAAGAGGCATTTCAATTTTTGTTTGATAAAAGCAAGAGGGTAGGTGATTGTTCATTACTATTTACATCATAGTTTTCATCACATTTCCAAACCAATCATTTAGGGCGAATATGATCGCGACTACGAGAAAGTCAAGCACCGTGAAGCCGCATATAAAGCTCGTATGGAAAAAGCGGATGGTGCCAGAAGAAAGTAGGCTGTTACTTTATTTATGCTCTGCGGGGCTAAAAGTCCTTATTCCAGATTTATAGATGAGCTTCATGAAAGAGAGAAAGAGTTTGCTGAAAGATCTAGGACTGCAGAACATTTGACTCCTGCGCAAGCCCATCAAAGGCGAAAAGAAGAGGTATAGTGTTTGTTGTTATAGTGTTTCTTCTAACAGTATCTGTAATTATTTCGCACTTACTAAGTATTATCGCGACCGCGAGGAATTACAAATGAGTAAATGTTGTTTAGGAGAAGAAGATACGGGTCGAGTTCGAGGCTTTGCGAAGAAAATTAGAGCAAGAAGCAGCTGATGAATTGCACGCGCAGCAGGAAAGGCTTGCTCGACTTGTGAAGGGACAGGAAGAAGAGAAGAAACGACAAGAGGCCGAAGGTAAATCTTTTCTATTTGCCCTTGAATTCGCTTTGATGTACTTTTACGCTTTACTGGTGCGAACTTGTTGTTGCATTGCTTTTTCTTGCAATTTTGATCTGACTGAAGCTCGTCAGTGTGGATGGAAGAATTGTCGATGCGATTTCTCATTACAGAAAAAACATCCTTGAATTACTGGAAGACTCATTTTTGAGAATTTG